GGGGGCGGACATCACAGACACAGCATTTATTTGTCCATCACTTGTCTCTTAAGTAAAGTCTTGTCTCAAGAGTCTTGACTATCCTTTCATCAAATCACTGTCTATTTAGCTATTATTTTCACTTTTTCTCCATTCATTAGTCTATTATCTCGATGATAACCACAGGTGTAGTCACTACTGGCTTATAATGGCATACCTTTAACAGGGAGTGGAAAGTGTGGTTCACGTCATTGAGTGATGACTTACGGCTAAAAGTTTACCACTTGTTTTTAAATAGAGAGTGTGCTCGATCATTGACAGACTGGCTAATTGTTGCAATCAATTATGTTATACTTAATCGGATTGGGTTTAGGAGATGCCAAAGACATCACTGTTAAGGGTCTGGAGATCGTGAGGAGAGCCAAACACGTGTTCCTCGAGGCCTACACTTCCATACTATCGGTTCCAAAGGAAACTCTTGTAATCACATCACTCGACAAACTTTTGCCCACAATTTGATCATAGTTTGCATTATAGGAAGAATTTTATGGCAGAAAAGTAGTCATCGCTGACAGAGATTTCGTAGAGCAGTCATCAGATGACATACTCGCAGATGCCGTCGACAATGATGTGGCCTTTCTTGTGGTGGGAGACCCTCTCGGGTGAGATAATACCGGTGTATCTCTTGTCTTATTAATGCTCTGATTGGACACAACAGAGCGACCACTCATACGGACCTGATATTGAGGGCCCACCAGACAGGTGTTCAGCACCGACTCATACACAACGCCTCGATTATCAACGCTTGTGGTGCGTGTGGTCTTCAGTTGTATAACTTCGGCGAAATTGTTTCCATTCCCTTCTGGACTGACAGTTGGAAACCAAACAGTTTTTTCGATAAGATATGCGCTAATCTTAAGTCCGGATTACACACACTGTGTCTCTTAGGTCTGCATTTCATTTCAAAACTAAATCACTTTCCAATCAATGAATTCATTTGAAAAAAGCTTTTAATTGCAAACAATTGTAAAAATAGTTTTATTTGTGTCTCTAATAAGTTATAATTTATTAATAATTTATTTAACAGATATTAAAGTGAAGGAGCAGTCGATTGACGCTATGATTAAAGGGAAAGTAGTCTACGAACCGCCCCGTTATATGTCTGTGAATATAGCATCGAAACAATTGTTAGAAATCATTGAATCGAAAGCC